TAAGTATAGAGTGCCGCAAGAACTGCAGTGGATGGCATAATCTGTAAGCAAAGTAGTGAAGCATGGTCTCTGTGGAAGCTACAATACCCACTTAGTCTGATCAGCTTTGGACCAACTGCACCAAAAATTAGGCCTGTAACTAGAGTTTTGCCGACAGTGTAATAATGATGAGGTGCCAACCATAGGGTCAGAGTGTAATGAAGACACTTTTCGATCATTTGGGTATCAGCACGGTTCGTTCCAACTATCTGCATAAATTACTAGTAGAAAAATATGTAAGAAGGAAAGACAAAAAGAAAAACAACCATACCACTTACCTTAAGAAACTTATTACGAAGCCAATCAAGAAATTCTTTCCCCTCTAGAAATGTGCAGCGAGCAACAATCACAAAGACCTCATAGTCCTGCTGCGGAGCAACTATTGCACCATGATGCTCGAACAATTGCGCAGCTTCTCTGAGCAGCTCATTATACTTACAAAATGATTTAAAAAATAGGATTTATCACCTAACCTACATAACTTCCTTTGTACTGCACGCGGTGCGGCTGATCGATCTTCAATGCTTTGATCAATTTGAAGATGATAAGTTACGCATTCCTCTAGACTAATTGTGCACAGTTCAATAAACATTTTTTGGACTACGGAAAAGATGAATAGTCCTCTGAAAAACATATAAACTTGGAAGAAGAAAGAAACAACACATATTAGTGTAAAATTCTCGGTCTTTTGAGGAGGATAAACACTTCTCAAAGACCCAAGGCGACATACTCTCCATAAGAAGTGGGTAATTCGAAATTAGACTGAGTAAACGGCCAGAAGATTAGATAGATACATTTAATGCGCAACGCGCGGGTGATTGCTTACGCATTTAACGTGTGCGAGTAGATGCGCAGCAGGACACTATAGACTATCTCCACTCCATAAGGATCGGCCGATCGAGGGTGAGGCACGGTTGCGTAACGGCAAAAATCAATATCAGCCGGAATACTCCCAGCTTCTAACTATGCCGCCCTTGCTCTACAGTTGGCTCTATATCCTTTTGCAAGCTACACTAAGGATTTCATAAGTAGGATGGATGTGGAACAAGTGCGCCAGCGAGGTGCGTGGTATGAAAGGATTAGAATTTGCCATAATTTCAACCCCCCATAATAATGAGTGAGCAAGTCTGCCTTGTTTTCGTTTAATTTTCTTTAAAGTTTAAAGCAAATTTTGAAGTCATTGGTTTCTACGAAAGGAATTGTAATGTGTAAATAAATTATTAAAGCTGACTTACTGGCTTGGCAGGGCTTGGCTTGCTATGGAAATAAAATGTTGCAACAAGTGCATCAAGTCGACATGAAGTCATTTAAACTTATACCATAGGATTTCAATAATTATGACTTAAAATTTCATCATTTTGTCACAGCGCACCTAGCTGGCGCACTTGTTCCGCAGTGGGAACTCCTGAAAGTGTTAATTTATTTTCACAAGGAGATCAAGCCAAACTCTGAAGACTAAGCCACTGTGTACTTAGAAGCTGTGCCGAATTGCGTTTGATTTCGATACCGCAACAACCGTGCTGCACCCACCCTCGATCCGCCGACCTGAATTGAATCTTTGTGAAGTACCGAGATAAACTATAGTCGGTTCCCAGAGATAGAGCGGGCGGGGCATTGCGGCTATTGACGCGGCGCGGCTGATAGTCACTGGGGCAAGATCAATGATCAGCTGATGTCCGAGCATCGAGAAGGAATGAAGGTAGGTTTTTTCATTGTTCCTTCATATTTTCTTTTTTTTCAGATTTCCAACGATGGTCACAAGGTAAGTTTTGATTCTGAAGGCCTCTGAAGACGACGATTAGTCGAAACGTAAGGCCACTGATAATAAAGATTCACCGCAAAACCTC